GTGCAGATGTGTTCATACATGTAATGTCTGGGGGCATTTCCTTCTTTTCCAGTCCACCCCAGTCAGGCAGAGTTGGTGTGACCCCCAGCACTGGTCTGGGTTCTGGACGGATCCCGTGGCTCCCAGTTCCCGTTCCTGAGTTGCCCCAAAAGTGCAGCAGCAGCACAGTGAGTATCTCTCGGGGGACTTTGAGCTCTTCCAATGATGGGAAGGACCTACTGAGGAGCGTGATCGTGGGATTCAGCAACGAGAACTGTACAAAAACAACCAGCGTAAGAGCCAAAGCCACAGATTTGGTGTCTCCTCAGGCAAAGTGCTGCTCTGCACAGCTCTGCCAGTTCTGGGCACAGACAACTCTCCCAGCCCCAGGCATGGTGAGCACAGACAACTGTCCCATCCTCAGGCACAGTGGGCTCAGGGTTCCCACCTCTGCCAGCCAGTGTCCAGCACTCTTAAACCCTCTTGCTCAGGCTGGAGTCATTTCCACTGTCATGTTCGTGGGAATGGGCTCGAGGCCGGGACCGGGGCTGGGAAAGGAGACAGGACTAGGGCGGGTGGGGTGGCCCCGGCGTGGGCCGCAGGCTGCCGGGGCAGTCTCACTAATGAACATTTGTCCAGGGATCAGTGAGCGGCCAAAGGACAGGCTGTGAAAACAAGCCGAGACGGGAGGAGGTGCAGCTGGGCTGCTGGCGTGTGGGAGGGAGGACGGCGCCAGCGAGGCCTTCGCGTTTGCTTCCCATTTCCTTGGGAGCTGGCGAGAGCCCTCCCGTCGCCCACATGGATCACGAGTGCTGCGAGGGCTCAGGCACCAGGGGTTGTGCAGGTGGGCAGAGGCTTGGCCGTGGGGACCGGGCTGGGTCGCTGGGCTGAGCTCACACACAGCTCCCTGCAGGGCTGGCCCTTGGCTCCCAGCCTCCTGCCCGGGATCCCCAGTGCCAGCTGGGGCCAACTGGGCAGCTCCTCCTCCCCACCAGCAGCCGATTCCTCCTGTGATCGTGTTAGTTTGCTTACCAGCTTCAGGCTTTTTGTAGTTCCTCTGAGAGCAGGGGAGCGTGAGCTCAGGGCTGTGACCTTCTTTAATTGTGTAGTCACCTCTGAAATGAGCCTAAGAACTTGCTTTGGCTCTCGTGCCTCCTGACGGGCACCAGGCTGAGGGCAGGGAGGAAGGCAGTGTGACTGACCGGGTCCTGGTACCAGCACAGTGGATCAATCCCTCTGTGGCACTGGCAAGCAGGAGGGGACAGATGTGGAGCTGAGCCCAGAGGGACCCCATCACCTTGGCACCGAGAGCAGCAGCTCCCCACCTGCACCATGGGGTGCCTTTTGCCAGCTGTGCTGAGCTGGGCCACCCTATGAGGGCACTGAGCATGGCTGGGTCCAGCTCTGCATCCCCCAAAGCATCTCCCCATCCCCTCCTGCCAGCCTCAGACAGTGAGGCTCAGAGCTGGGAGTCAGGCTGTTGTGGAGCAAGCCCACCCAGTAAAAGGCAGAGCTCTTTGGGGCCTCATGGGTGCCCCTTCCACCCTGGGGCCCCTGACCCCATGAGCTCACCCTGCTCTGCTGCTCCTGTTCTCCATGTCCTGTTTGTCCCGAGCAGCTGCTGGGACAGGCTTCATGTGGCCTCCTGCCCTGTCCCTCTGCCGGCACAGAGCCACCATTCAGATCCCCCCCGGGCTCTGCCCGAGGTCACCATTCCTGCATTTTTATTTTTACTTTTCTGCAAAATCAACCCCCTTGGCTCTCTGCATCCCCCTTTGTCTCCCACGAGGCTCCCATACCCTGTGTCATGAGCTGGCGTGCTGCGAGAGGAGCCCGCCTGACTGGGGGAAGGCAACCCTTGGCGGGGGGAGAGACACTGACTGCAGTGCCGGTCCCAGGGGTCCCCTGGGATGTCACTGGGATGTTGGGATGGAGGGAGGGTAAGGGCGGTGAGCCCAGCATCAGGGTTGGTGTCTGTGGCTGGGCTCCTGGTGGACCCTATGTCCCCACACCCAGGGTCCTTGCCTGCTGCTGGCCATGCCCTGCAGGGGCTGTGTGAGCTCTGGGGTCCCCGGTGTCCCCGCTGACTCTGTTTGATGAAGCGGTCAGGGCTGGCGTCAGCAGCGACCCCACGCTGGCCTGGAGCCCTCCCAGCTTCAGGAACAGCTGTGGCTGGGTCACGCTGAGCCTGCAGCTGGGAAAACAACCATGGAGGAGCCCCCACATGTCCCCCAGATGTATTTTTAGATGGGTCAGAGGCTGTCAGGGACGTGCAGGTGACAGTGGGCAGCATCAGGCTGGCAGCAACACCACACATGAGGCAGTGGGCAGGAGCTGCAGCTCCCCACACCTCGATGTTGACAGTGTTTCTCTGAGCTCTGATGAAGTGCCTGCTGGTCTAGGGATGACCACAGTGGCCACAGGTCCTGGTCACAGCCCAGTTCTGTTGGTGACAGTGAACTTTTCCTGGCTGGAAATGGATGTGGGAGGTTTTATTCTGAGCTGTTGACTTTTCTTTCCAAGTTCCCTCCAAACCCATCGGGGCTGCTCTCGCTTTCCTTGCCGAGTCCCCGGGTTTTCCCCGGTGTTTCCCCAGCCCACATGTGCCTGCCGGTGGAAGGCTGGTGAGCAGCAACAGTGCTGCCTCTGGCACCGGCACACGCCGTCGGGGGGAATTCCCGGGGTGATTGTGGCACCGCGGGACACGGGTGTGTCCGGATTTCCTTGCAGATGGCAAACGTGCCTGGATGTCCTTGCTCACCAAAGCAGCACTGCCCCAGCCCAGCCCCTGTGGTCCCTGGGGAATCCTAGCACGTGGCTGCAGGGTGGTTTGGGCCATTGTATCATGGGAGAGATGTGGAAAGAGCTGGGACAGGATGGGGAACCGCCTGCACGTGCCGAGGAGTGTGTGGGGCCACAGGAAACTCTGGCCTGGGGAGCAAGGGGTGTCGTGGGGACAGCGGGGAGCGGTGTCCTGATCTGAGCAGGGGACAGTGGCAGCAGGGAATTCCTGCAAGTCCCTGCCCTCCTGGGCTACTGGCTCCCATCTGACCATGGCCCATTCCTTCTGGAGCAGCCAGGGGGGACTGGCCTCTCCCCAGCAGAGGAGCCCTCACGCTCCTGGAATGGGCAGAGAAGCTCAGCAGGAGAAGCCTCTTCCCATCTGAAAGGCTGGGTCAAACAGGGCAGGATTTCACGCTCAGTTCCTTCTGTCATCCCTTGCAGGGAGCACTCCTAGGAGCATCCTGTGTGTCAAACTTTAGATGTGGTTTTGGCTGTTCCTTGCCAAACACGGGAGTGTTTGGTTAGGGTTCGGCTCTTTGCAGGCTTTTTTCAGTTCAACCTCAAAATTTGCTCAAATCCAGGAGGAAGACTTCCTGGTTTTGCTTCCTATCTGTGCTGCTCCCTATAAAATTTCATTTCTCCTCATGGAAGATGTTCTGATTCCTCAGTGCTCCTCCTGAATGTCTTGACTGCTGGTCTGAAGTAGTCCTGTTGAGGTGGGGGTGTCACCACGGGAGGTTTGGGTGCTCATCCTCTGAAACAAGCCAGACTCAGCAAAGAGCTGGTGATGGGTGACAGGAAGGATCATGGTGCTGTGGAGGATGTGAGTGGGGATTTGGCCTTTCACCCTTCAATTCTGCCCTTGGCTGCTTCTTTCTGGGCAAAAGGAGCTCTGGGCAAAAGGAGCTCTGCCCATGGGCTCCTGGCTCCCAGGGATAGATTGGGCTGGCACTGAGGATCACAGCCTGTGGATGGTGGTGGGTGCCTGTGGAACACGGCTCTGCCCGGGACGGTTTGTCCCTCTCTGAAGGCGCCGTCCTTGCCATGTCCCTGTTTCCCTGCCCTGGGTCTCAGAGCTGACAGTGACTGCAGTGCCACTTTCCAAAGCTGTAGCCATTCATACAGGCCTGGTGGGCATTTGCTGGGTGTCTGCCAGGCAGCCTGCAAGTGACCTCACCAAAAGCTCATGGGAAGAAAGGCAGAGGGGAACTGAGTGCACTGGTCTCTCCATCCCTGCTCTCCACGTGCCGGGTTTCTCCAGCACAGACACTCAGTTCCCTGTGGCCCCATCCCTTGGGGTCTCCTGGGGCTGCAGCACCGGGGGATGGCCGTGCCATGCCAGTGGCTCTGCTTGAGCAATAGCTGCATTTCACAACATCCTTGCTTGGCTCAGGGATGTTGCCTCTGGCAGCCAGGACTTCCCTGGATCCAGCATGAGATCTGCCTGCATCAGCAGCTGCGGGTTTCCTGTGCCTGGACCCCAACAGGAAATGAAAGTAACTGAATCATTTCTTCTTCCCTCACCTCTGTCCTGCAAGGAGAGATCAGCCAGCCCAGCTCTCCCAGCTGAGGGCCACGGGGTTGCTCCCCCCTTGCCCCTACCTGCCTGCACCCAGCTCCTGCTCCTGTCTCCAGCCAATGTGACAAGAGCTGTGACCTGCCAGGGCCCCAGAAGTGTTGTCTTTGGGGCTTGATCCTGGAGTGGTGGATGTCTCCTCTTGTGCATGGCTGCTCTGTGCTGGAGCCATGTGCCAGAGCCTTGGGGTGCAGGAACGTGTCTCTGTCAGGCTCTGCTGCCAAACCCAGCTCTGCTCCACTGAGCACCTGCTGCTGCTGCATGCAGGGATTGCTGGCACTGACAGAGAGCTGGAAACTGGGCTGTTGCCTCTGAGTTTCCACTGCCCCTTCCCTGCCTTTGATGAGAGGCACCAGCTGTGCCGCTGGGTACAGGTGCCACGGTGCCAGTGGCACAGAGGAGCAGGGCGGTGGCCGAGCAGGAAGCCCTGTGGATCTGGGGACGCCCCGCCTGGCTCCACACGCCTCCCTCTCCAGAGGTTCCCGTTTTGGCAGGGATATAAAGGTGGTGTGGGCAGGGAGAGCACGGCACTGCGGGAAGCCAGGATGGGAGTGCAGAGCCTGGCAGTGGCTTGCGGGGCACTGGCCTTTTGCCTGGCACTCACCACAGCCACCAACCCCGGCTTTGTGGTGAGGATCACCCAGGCAGGCTTGGACTACGGTGGGTTCTGCTTCTGATTTCTCTCCTTGCAGATGTGCTGGTGGCAGAGGGGTAGAGCTGGGCCCCCTGTGAGAATTGCAGGGTCCTGGGGCAGGATGGGGCTTCTCAGCCATGGGTACCCCTGTGGAGAGCACAGGGTCCTGGGTCAGGATGGGAGAATCCTTGGACAGGGGTGCCGAATGCGCCATCGCCCAGGGCTTCCCCTTTTACATCCATCTGCCCCCCTCACCCCCCAGCTTGATGGAGCCCCTGCAGAGGAGACCAGACCTGTGGGGTCTTGGAGAGCTGCACGCAGGTGTTGAGGGAGGGGCTGGTCCCATGGCACATGTCCGGGCAGCTGAGCCATGAGCCCTGGAGGAGTGAGCTGTGGAGGAGAGAGGAGGTGGGGAGCTGCAGGGTAGGGAAGTGACAGAGATGGATGGGCCCTGTGCTGGTTTTATGGAGGCAGGCAGAGCCCTGGCTCCAGCAGAGCACAGTTATGGATTGAAATACACTGTGTGAGAAACAGCTCATTTAGCTGGCAGCTCTGCCAGCCGTGCGGGAGAGGACGTGACTCCCCTTCCCAGACAGAGGCAGGGAGGCATCAGCACCCACTGATGTTGTGCTACTCCTTAGGACACAGGCTCCATCCAGCTTTTCCTGCTGGCACTGAGCATGGAGCAGCCTGGAGCCTGGGACCTCCCATGCTCCTCACACAGTGCACAGCCTGGAGAGCGAGGACTGGGACCTCTTTCTCCTTTCTGTGGCCACCACCTTGCCCTGGGGCTTGCAAGCAGGACACCAGGCAACCTCGTCTGGGTGCTCATAGGGCTGGCTCTGTAGAAGGAGACTAAAGCCCACCTGAGAGATGGAAAGCATCACCTGGATGATCCTTCCTCTGCATGCCCGAAGTGCGCTCCAGCTCCTGTGGCAGCGGTGGCAGTGATGCTCTCCCCGTGTCCCTGCAGCCCATCAGCATGGAATCGCGATGCTGGAGAAGAAGCTGGCTGAGCTGACGCTGCCAGACATGTCGGGTGACTTTCGTGTCTTGCGTGTGGGAAAGGTGCACTATGAGCTCTCCAGGTGAGCCCTGCCAGCGCCCAACCCAGGCGATGGGCAAGGTGGGGGGTGGCAGAGACCTCCTGGAGCAGCGAGGAGCATCCTGTCACCTCCACAGCTCCCTGAGATGTTGGCCCTGTCCTTGGTACAGGCAGAGATGTTCCTGCTTCACCCCCTGCCCAAAGGGAAAAGGGAACTGGGGTGATGGTACTCTGGGTGTGGGTGGAGTTTGTGAAATCGAAGACCAGGTAGTGGAGGTGGCCTTGCCTGTAGGACTAGGGCCCCCCATCTCCACACAGAGGAGGAGCCCAGCCCCTGTGGATATCCCAGCTCCCTGCTGCCTCCACTCCTGCTGCACAGGTTTTGGAGCTGCTGCCTGGGTGGCTGCAAGGACCACGTTCCCAAAGGCACCACTCTGCTCTGTGTGTCCCTGCCAGGCATAGCTTTGCTGCAGCAGAACTGGAGCTGGGGCACTGCAGTGACTCCCCAGCCGTGTGCCCCCACCACTGTAACATAACTTTTCTTTTTATTCATTTATTTTTAGACTGCGCCTTCGCAGTTTCCACCTGCCCTACTCACGGATTTCCCCTGTCCCCAATGTGGGCCTGCAGGTTGCCATCTCCAACGCCTTCGCCGAGCTGGATGGGGACTGGCGGGTGAAGATGCTCTTCATGTGCGTGCCCAGCTCCTCCCCTCCCTGCTTGGGTGCTCACTCTGTGTCTCCCTCTCTGGATCTGGACAGGTTTTTCCTCCTCTCCCTCTCCTGTGTGTTTTGGGAAGCTGTCACTTTGCTGCCCCAGATATGACAGATAAAACAGGGTGGGAGGCAGGAACAGGACACATGATGGGAGAGCTATGCATGGACTCTCAGGTCTCTTTTCCACCGCCCCTACTTGCTCTCACCCTCCTCTATTTAAAGGTTACCTCTCCTACTTTATGTGCCAGTGAAATTTGTTTTTCCTGAGTTTAACAACTTTCCCAGTCTCCTCTGGATGCACCATACAAGGAGTCTGAGTTAGATTGATCCATGCCAGAGCTGATTTGAGGTCCCTTCACCAGGCCTTGGCATTGAGAAACATCCCTTTCTCATCCCCCTCTCCCTGCAGCCGGGACCACGGCTCATTTGACCTGAAGGTAGAGAATGTCTACATCAAAATCAGCCTGAGGCTGGGCAGTGACACCACTGGGAAACCCACCATCAGCACCTCAGACTGCAGCACCCGCATCTCCAAAGTCCGGGTGCTCTTTTCGGGCAAATTTGGGTACGTAACTTCACTGGGAGATCTGGAAGCACTGTGTGTTTCCCCATTTGCTGTGGGAATGTAGCCCTGCCACTGGAATGTGGCCCTGGTGCAAGGAGTAAGATGTTGGCATATCTGAGCTTGCCTGGTCTTAAATCTGGCCTGAATTTCTCCTGCTGTGGCTGCACATTTAAGGGGGTTAGGGGCGGTTAAGGCAGATACCAGACTTTTGTGGTTTACCAGCAGGTCTGTTTGCAAATGTAAACCCTGAGGCAAAGCCAGAAGTCAAATTGGTATGGGAACAATGTTCCCAAGGTCCCACATCTCTAGGGTAGATAGACATACTGGGCACATACTTCTGCAGCAGTTCCGGAGCTAGACACAGGGCTCCTCTCTGTTTCTCTGCAGGTGGCTTTACAACCTCTTCCACAGTGCTGTTGAGTCCAAGTTCAAGAAGATTTTGGAGAGTAAGGTACGTGAGCAGTGTAGGGCAGGGCTCTGTGTTTTTCTGATGGTCTTTAGCCCTCACTTGTAGCTGATGTGCTGGAAGAATCGGAGCAGATGCAGGGATGTAACTAGAACCAGAGCACAGGACTGTGTTGCCAATTTGGTGAAAACGGGCATTGCAGGCTCCATAGCATCATGTGTCTCAGGCTGAATTTGAAACCTGCAGCCTTTGCCAAAGCCCAGTGTAATTGGTTCCTAATTAACAAAGACTTTTCTTTCCATGTGGTCAGTTAATTAGATCTTATGCCTCAGCCAAACTCATTGTAACAGAGGGAACCTGATCAGAGCTGTCCTTTAACCAGCTGTGCTCTGGAGGGCTTTGGGGAGCACTGGGGGGAAAACTCTCATTCCTGGATTTCAGACACTTGCTGTTTTGTTTTACGGAGGGGGGTCAGGGAGCCCTGGTACCACCACCTGGTACAGACACTGACATGAAGGAGACCTGCAACAAGACATGGAAACAAGCTGTTAGCAATAATTACTACAAGGATAACTGGCATGAGTTACAGCCTCCCTGGATGTGAACCTTGTTCGGGAAGGAGGCAGTTGGAGAACAGGCAAATCCCACTCCTGAGGCAGATCCCATCCTGCCTGGGCACTATTCCCAATACCATGCAGTGCCTTTCCCAAGGCCCCTGGGGGCTGGGACAGCAGATGGCCTGGCAGCAGGAGCCACACTGGGACTCAGAGGCCTTTTCTGCTGTTTTGCCCCCTCGAAGGAGGGCAGCTCTGGGACTGTGAGGGGACCCTGCTGCCCTCTCTGCCTCCTCTGGGCACTCTCTGCCCCACACACATTCCTTGGTGTCTTTGTGTGAGTGATGGTGCGAGGGGTGAGGGGCAGGAGAGGGAGTGCACTGCCATGGAACCCCCTCTGCACAGCTCGGTCCCAACCCAGCCTGGGCAGCCTGTGTCTGCCTCCTGCTCTCACTGCACATGCTTGGACACTCCTCGTGCCCCCAGTGCTGAGGCACCATTCCCGGGGAGATCCAGCTCACAGGGAAATCCAGGTCATGGGGAAATCCAGGTCACAGGGAAATCCAGGTCGCAGGGAAATCCTGGTCGCTGGGACCAGGGCTGTGTTTGCCTGTTTGCAGCAACGTCCTTGCAGGAAGCAATGGGGCTTTTCCAGCACAGACAAACAAATATCACTGGGCACAGGGAAGAGCAGCAACCTGCTGTCTCTAAAGCCATGCCCAAGGCTCTGTCCCTCCTCCTCCCTGGCACTGCCCAGCCAGCAGCTTCATCACTGTCAGTGTGGTCACTGCCCCTCCGCAGTGCTGCATCTCGCCATCAGCTCTGTGGGCTCCATGCCTGGTCAGAGATGATGGCTGGATCCTGCTGGTAGTTTCTGTGATAATACAGCAAAAGCACTGGAAGGAGCTTTGCAGATTTTCTCAGCCACCTGCAGGACTGTGCCCCACAGTAAATTTCCTGGATTAAATCCCCACTAATGACAGGGCTTCAGCCGGGTATGACAGCAGCAAAGGGATGTACTCTTCTGTCCTGGCACAGGGTTGTAGGAGCTCAGGAAAGCTCAGCTACAGTGCAATCAGTGCTTCTGCCCCTGTAGGGTAGGTTAACCCTTTCAGTTGCTCTGCTTTGGCCAAGTCCTGGCAGCTCACGGTTCATTCCTGCACCAGGGAATGGTATAAACCCTGCTTGTATCTTGGACACTTAATGTGCTGTCTGATGAATGGAGACAATCATCACTGTGTACTCTTTTATTTAAGCAGGCTTTGTTAAGGAATAAACCCAGCAGCAGGCAGCAGAGCAGGGAGTGTGGCCTCGGCTCTGAGTGGGGGCTGTGACCTGGCTGCCCCTGCTCAGCTCCGTGGCCTTTCTCTCACACAGGTCTGTGACAGCGTGGCTGAATCTGTGCACAAGGAGCTCCAGACATACGCCCGGACCCTGCCAGGTACCAGGGGGCTGCATGGGGGTTTAGGACCAGTTTTTCTTAGCCTTTCCCAGCCATGAGAACAGCATTTTACCTTGTGTCCACCCCCCACCTCCTCGTATTCCTGCATCCAAGCTGGGAGCTGGGGAGGACCTCATCAGCAAAGACATGTTACTGTGCACTTTGTCTGGCTGCGGAGACCCCTCCAGGAGCTGTGCCCCAGGACTGGCAGGGGCTTGGGCTGCCTTAGCTGGGGTACCCAAGCCATTTCTCAGGTCCAGGAGTCGGTTTGCATGGCTGAGAAACAGCCAGGAGGAAAATGGGATTTTTTGCTTCTAAACAGAAGCAAGCACATGTGCAGCTGGTATGGAGCTGATGCACCAGGAAGCCCAGATGCAACACTGCCTGAATGGCAGTCAGGGTGATCTGCTCCCAGATTTCCCAGCCATCTCCCTCTCGCTCACCTCTCTGCCTTGTGTTCACAGTCACGGCCAAGATAGACGCCAGGACTGGGATTGATTACTCCTTTGTGGCACCCCCAGTTGCTACTGCCCAGTCCCTGGACACAGGCCTGAAGGTGAGAGGCTGCCCTGGGGACACTTGATTTGGCCAATGCCATTGCCACAGGTGGGTGGATAACGAGGTTTCGGTACCTGCTGCAAATGTTGTTTGCCAGCCTGGGTCAGCAGCTGAGCCCCACCACTATTTGCCCTCCTTCTCCAACTCTCTCCCTTCTCCCAGGGTGAATTCTACTCCCTGGCCCACCGTTCCACTGTCCCCTTCTCACCACTGCCGCTGTCCTTGCCCTCGGATCACGATCGCATGGTTTACTTCGGGGCCTCCAGCTACTTCTTCAACACAGCCGGCTTCGCCTACCACACGTCCGGGGCACTGGTCTTCGAAATCACGGATGCCATGGTGAGTGGTGCAGGAGGGATAAGGCTGGCCCCAAGCCCCTGGCAGGGATTCCATTTGCTGAGGAGCTCTGCTGGCAGCCAGAGGTCTTGGAGGACCCCCAGTGGAAGAGCTGGGGCTGTGGGATGAGGCCGGGCTGTTGAGCACGGCAGCGCGTGGGGACGGGTGGGCTCGCCAGGGGCTCT